CGGAGCCTTTATTCGACGATGTTAACCTGTGTGGAAGAGATCGAGAGAATTTACCAAGGATATAAGACCTATTTGAGGTTGTATGTCGGAGCCTTGCTCGACGACATTAACCTATGTAGAAGAGGTCAAGAGAATCCACCAAGGATGTAAGACCTATCCGAAGTTGTATGTCGGAGCCTTTGCTCGGTGACGTTAACCTGTATGGAAGAGGTCGAGAGAATCCTCAAAGGATTGATTTTGCTTTGATCGAGAGGGGGCGAACTCGCGTGTATCCTGAATCAAAGATAAAAAAAAGGGTCTATCTTTAAACTGTTACTACCTTTTTGAGGTCAAGATTAAGACCTTTCTTAAGGAGTAGAAGTCCAGCAGGGGACTGCATGAAGCTTATTATTGATCGAAAGTATTCTTGCATTTGCTAAAATTTTCCTGACATATCATCTTGATGTTGGAAGTATTGGAGGGATCTTCTTGACCAAAATTGGGGTCAAATTTGCCCCCCGGTCTGCATCTGATGTAACAATAACTGATGTTAGAAAGTTGATAAGAGCGATCTGTTAATATTGGAGCAAAAGTTTCCCCCCCAGTCGGGAACCACTTTCCCACAGACGGCGCAAAACTGTTGCATCCAGGGGTATTCGCGACAGTAGAGAAATATAAAGTTTAACATCTTAGCATTGTACGAAAATCAGGCACGCAATCAAATAAGAGAGTGTGTAGCATTCATAGGAGACACCAATATTTTTATGTGAAAAACCCCTGAAAAGAGGAAAAAACCATGGGGATTAGCCTAGTTTGAATAAACCCACTAGTATTGCAGTTAATTACAAATGAGACCCTTCATTGGGAGAAGGCCTTAGCTTGATGTACATTTTATAGAGTATATTACATGATGTGAATATAAAGAATCACTATTGATGTGTTTGTTTGGTCGGGAAAACCATAGTCTGGTAATGGAGGTCAGAAAGATTGTAGTCTGTGGACGACGTAAGTCAGGAGGACTGTAGTCGACAGTCGACGGATGTCGAAAAGACTGTAGTCGACGGGCGAATTAAGTCAGGAGGACCATAGTTGGGTGGCAATATAGGTCGGAAGAATTGTTTTCTGACGATGAAGGTCAGAAGGGCGGCATTAGGTAGAATGCCAATAATGGAAAGAAATCCATCTTCGCATAGACGTCCAGTGAAGTTCGATAACCGGTAGAAGTTCGGAGTCGGGTAGAAACTTGGCGATGTGTGAAGGTCCAGCAGGGGACTGTATGAAGCTTATTATTGATCGAAAGTATCCTTGTATTTGCTAAAATTTTCCTGACATATCATCTTGATGTTGGAAGTATTGGAGGGATCTTCTTGACCAAAATTGCGATCAAATTTGCCCCTCGGTCTGCTTCTGATGTAACAATAACTGATGTCAGAAAATTGATAAGAGCGATCTGTTAAGATTGGAGCAAAAGTTGCCCCCCCAGTCGGGAACCACTTTCCCACAGACGTCGCAAAACTGTTGCATCAAGGAGTATTCGCGGCAGTAGAGAAATATAAAGTTTAATATCTTAGCATTGTACGAAAATCAGGCACGCAATCAAATAAGAGAGTTTGTAGCATTCATAGGAGACACCAATATTTTTATGTGAAAAACCCCTGAAAAGAGGAAAAAACCATGGGGCCTTTCCTAGTTTGAATGAACCCACTAGTATTGCAGTTGATTACAAATGAGACCCTTCATTGGGAGAAGGCCTTAGCTTGATGTACATTTTATAGAGTATATTACATGATGTGAATACAAAGAATCACTATTGATGTGTTTGTTTGGTCGGGAAAACCATAGTCTGGTAATGGAGGTCAGAAAGATTGTAGTCTGTGGACGACGTAAGTCAGGAGGACTATAGTCGACAGGCGACGGATGTCGAAAAGACTGCAGTCGACGGGCAAATTAAGTCAGGAGGACCATAGTTGGCTGGCAATAGAGGTCGGAAGAATTGTTGTCTGACGACGAAGGTCAGAAGGACGGCATTAGGTAGAATGCCAATAATGGAAAGAAATCCATCTTCGTATAGACGTCCAGTGAAGTTCGATAATCGATAGAAGTTCGGAGTCGGGTAAAAACTTGGCGATGAGTGAAGGTCCAGCAGGAGACTGTATGAAGCTTATTATTGATCGAAAGTATCCTTGCATTTGCTAAAAATTTTCTGACATATCATCTTGATGTTGGAAGTATTGGAGGGATCTTATTGACCAAAATTGCGATCAAATTTGCCCCCCGGTCTGCTTCTGATGTAACAATAACTGATGTCAGAAAGTTGATAAGAGCGATCTGTTAAGATTGGAGCAAAAGTTTCCCCCCAAGTCGGGAACCACTTTCCCACAGACGGTGCAAAACTGTTGCATCAAGGAGTATTCGCGGCAGTAGAGAAATATAAAGTTTAATATCTTAGCATTGTACGAAAATCAGGCACGCAATCAAATAAGAGAGTGTGTAGCATTCATAGGAGACACCAATATTTTTATGTGAAAAACCCCTGAAAAGAGGAAAAAACCACGGGGCCTAGCCTAGTTTGAATGAACCCACTAGTATTGCAGTTGATTACAAATGAGACCCTTCATTGGGAGAAGGCCTTAGCTTGATGTACATTTTATAGAGTATATTACATGATGTGAATACAAAGAATCACTATTGATGTGTTTGTTTGGTCGGGAATACCATAGTCTGGTAATGGAGGTCAGAAAGATTGTAGTCTGTGGACGACGTAAGTCAGGAGGACTGTAGTCGACAGGCGACGGATGTCGAAAAGACTGTAGTCGACGGGCGAATTAAGTCAGGAGGACCATAGTCGGCTGGCAATAGAGGTCGGAAGAATTGTTGTCTGACGACGTAGGTCAGAAGGACGGCATTAGGTAGAATGCCAATAATGGAAAGAAATCCATCTTCGCATAGACGTCCAGCGAAGTTTGATAACCGGTAGAAGTCCGGCGTCGGGTAGAAACTTGGCGATGAGTGAAGGTCCGATGTCGGGTAGAAGTTCGACGTTTGTTGGTGGCCGAGGAGAACTCCGGTATCACTTGGGTGGAGTTTTGGCGTCAGGGGGAAACTCTGTTGTTACTTGGGCAGAATTTCAGCATCCCGTGGAAGTTAGGCAGAATTCTGGCATCCTGTGTAAGTCGGGTAGAATTCTGTCGTCATTTGGTGTTTGGGTGGAACTCCGGCGGTGGTCGAGGAGGAGTCTCTTCCCTCCTATTCTTCTCTTCTTCTTCTCCTCCTTCTTCTTTCTCTTGCTTCCCCCCTCTCTCAAGAGAAATGACAGGTCTATTTATAGATTTTTTGGAGTGGCATGACCCATAAATAGATGAGATATTAGGGGCAAATATGGAGTGGTTCGGATGAACGGTTGATATTGAATCCTTCGATTGTGGACCGTTCATTAAGCATTTGAAGGTCTTAATGATGTCGGAATTCAGCGATCTTGGGGTCGTTGGATTCGATTATAAGCTCGTCAAATTCGGAGACCGTTTGGTAACTCGAATTGTGGTACAAACTTTCCAACAATGCTTTGGGTCCTCAATTCGGACCCATTTGGGCTCGGATTGAGTTGAATTTGGTGTTGTTGAGTTCGTATTTTTGAGATGATCAGTTCGACTGTAAGTTTGCTGAAATCGGAGATCAGGTGATCCCGGATTTAATTTTTGAAGTTTTCAACTTGACTTTTGCCTCAAGATTCGTGCCCGATCAAGCAAATTTTATGATGAGTGATGATGTATCAAGAATAAATCTATTAAATGGATTTTAGGTAGTTAAACTCCAAGGGTTTTGCTGTAAGTAAGCAATTAGTTTGGCCAAGCAACAACTCTAAAGAATATAACTTTTTTTTTTTTTTTTTGGCGTTCATTAAAAAAATTTGCATATCTTTTCATCCATAGTAGCATTTGGGCTAAATTTAGATTAAGAAAATCCTTTTAGTTCACATTGAATGTTTCATTCAAGTCTATTTCTAGGGAAATTATTCTGTACAGTCATCGGAAGCTAGCCATTCGAAGACAAATCAGGGCGCGCCACATCACTTTTTTTTGTTGATGTGTACTGATATTGTGTATCGGGTGATGTGGTATATCCTTACTCGCCTCCAGACCGTCCATTAACGACACTAAATAATTTCTCCTATTTCTATGATCACCTTCAATTTGGAAGCATACATTTTATTATGCCCTTATAATAGGAAATAAGATGGAGATGAAGAAGAAAATTGAAATGAATTGCAGGCGGTAGAGAACGTATATAGATGTTGAATACTCGTTCAACTACATTTTTAGCCACCTCAACCCCTATACTTACTAAAAAAAAAAATAATTATGAATTTATGCTCACATTAATATAATTATGTTTAAATATATATATTAATTTAAATAAATATCATAATATTAAAGTTCATGTTGTAAATTTTTTCCTTTTTTTTTTTTGAATAAATATCGCAATATGATAAAGAGAGCTAATTTCTCCCGTTTTTTAGCGCAAGCTACGAATGCAAAAAAAGGCATTTTTTTAATTTATAACATAGTCTAGATCATATACTCCTTTATTGACTGCGGGAATGAAGCCTTTCTGTTGAATAATAAATGGTTAAGAGCATCTTTCTCCTTCCAAAACCCTATTTAAGGACGTGATAGGCGAGGTGAGGGATAACAAAGAAGCGAGAACCTTTGAGAACGAGAAGAGGAAACGGGAAGAACAATTTCACGGTAGACCTTCATCAAAGAGCACTTGATTTGTGACATTGAGGGCCGACGGATTTGGCATTGGGTATAATTGGCCGCGACAGCGTTTGGGAATAATACTTTTAGTTTCCGCAGGTATCATTCGATCGTCCTATGAATCCGGATCGGACATTTATTTTGTATTCCATTGATTTTATATTATTCGACCTTTTATTCCATTGATTTTATAGGAAGCTTAAACGAAGCAAGAGAGAGCAGCCGGCAGAGGGTCAGTGGTTTTGCAATTAGGGCATAAACAGCAGATCGCCTGTGGCAATGACCTTCAAGCGCAGAAATGGCGGGCGTAACAAGCACGGCCGCGGCCACGTGAACTTTATCCGCTGCTCCAACTGCGGAAAATGCTGCCCCAAGGATAAGGCTATCAACAGGTTTCTGGTGAGGAATATCGTGGAACAAGCTGCCCTCAGGGATGTACAGGAGGCATGTGTCTATGAAAATTATACTCTCCCAAAACTCTATGCTAAGGTTCAGTACTGTGTTTCCTGCGCTATTCACTCTCATGTTGTAAGAGTTAGATCTCGCACTGCCAGGAGGGTTCGTGAGCCTCCACAGCGGTTCAGGCACAGGGAGGATTTGGGAAGACCTGGTCCACCTCGCCCTGGTGTTGCTGGCGTTGCACCTGTTCGCCCATGAACCAAGACTGTCCTGGTTTCAATAATTTATCTGGTTTCATTTGTTTGAAGTTCCTTTCAGCTTTTGTGCAAGTCTTGAGACTGCATCTTTGCTAGCAACATTTTTGTATTCTCATATGTTGAATTTAAGTATTCTGTAGTTTCTTAGAATAAAACTTATAATTATTAAATTTTATTATAATAAATTTGAATGCCAATATCATAATCCAAGTTTTAAATAATTTGAGCATAACATTTAACTTGTTTGTTTGGTACTCAATTCTTTCACCAAGAAAAATAATGTGGGATAATTCTATAATTGTCTAAAAAATAGTTTCATAAATGACTTAAATATCGATGCAATAAATCATAAATAATTTCAAGCATTAATTATTTGTCGCTAAGGAGATTAAGTTTATTAATCCAAAATTCTTTTTTTAATTGAAAATTTAAATTAATTTTTTTGTACATAAAGAATTTAGAAAATTATGAGTTTTGATTATTTTTTAAACTAATTAATAATTTTGTCGGAGCCGAAGTTGAAAATTTTGTAGGGCTACTAATTTCTAATCACCTTATTCTAAATGAACTATTTAAGAGCCCATATATAAGAAAAAAAAAAAAAACTGATGCGAAGTTGAAAATTTTGTAGGGCTACTAATTTCTCATCGCCTTATTCTAAATGAACTAATTAAGAGCCCATATATAAGAAAAAAAAAACTCATGCATAAATTGAGTTGATAGACTTGAGTTTTGCATTTGATGCACAATGATGTAAAAATCTTGTAATAAATATAAAAATAGAATTTTATCAACCAAGGAAACAAAAAATATGAAAATTAGAAAATTTTAATTATTGAAGTTAAATAGGATTATTAAAAACTTGATTGATTATTGTCTAAAAAATTAAAAATTATAGTACTATTGACTAGATCAACCCAATATGTCTGCCTTTGCCAACTTAAGAGATTGAAATATTCAACTCGGTTAGCCCAATTTTATTGGCATGCTCAATTTAGCCAACTAATTTGATTAACAACCAATGAGCTTACCTCCCCTCTCTGTGCTAATCTTGGCAACTAATAAAGAAGGAGAGATTGTGTGCAAGAAAATGCAAACCTCATTCCACATCTTTTTAGGTCTCAAAGACGACTATGATAAACTTTAAAATGAATGATATATTTGAGATTTGATATAAACTAGTAAAAATGCCCGTGCATTAAATGCACGTGGCTAAAAATTTAATAATAAAGATTTATATTATAAATATTTTAATTATGCTATCATTATTAAGATAAAAAAATTATTTTTATAAATAATTATAATAATTATGATAAATTTTATATGATTAGGTAAATAGTTTTTATTGATATGGAATTTCTATCATTCATGAATTATTTTGGAATTAAATTCAGTTTATTAGTTAATAAACAAACTATTTATTATAGTTATGTAAAAGTAGTAATATGAATTTGTGTGCGTATTTAAATAGATGACATGTCAACTTCATGAGTAAGATAGGATTGAATTCAAAAGTTATACAATAACAATTCATTTAAACATGAACATGCTTATAGACATGGATAACTTTCTTTAATAACACAATAATAAAAAAAAAAATTTTGCTTCAGAGATATGCAGATTTTCAATCCATATGTGATATAAAAAATGGTCCTAATGCTATGAATGCTATCAAAAATATTTAAATTAATAAAGAAAGATTTATGCATTATATTGAAATGTAGTGAAAAATCAATAATATGAAACTGAATAATTTATTTTCAATATTTAAATATAACATTTAAGTTAAGACTCAATCGATTAGACACATATCAATTAAGTATGTCAGTATGGATTTGAATTTGACTCATAATTATAAAAACATAAATTGATTTGTATTTTGAAGTGATAATAAGAAGAAATTAGAGTTATCAAAGTCTCAAGATTTTTAAGAAAAAGCTATAGAGCTTCATCATTTTTGTTTTCATCAAATCATAAATTATTGAATTAAGAGAAATAATATTTTTTTTACCTCAATTTCTCGCAAGAACAATAACGACTAATAAGGAAATCAAAAATTCATTTGATTTTATGAACTAAATAATCAATTGAATTCAAATTATAGCCATAAATATATAGGTCAACAACAAATAAAATTATATTTGCAGTAATATATATAAATCAAAGCCGTGAAACATGTGAAAGAGAAAGGGTCTAAGGCACGTTTACCTTCCTAGTTTGAACTACTCTCGCAAATCTCAATAGTCGATGACCACCGTCCGGCGATCACGTCCTCTAAGGTCTCCTTCCGCTTTGACCCGGAGAGGGAAGCAGAAAGCTTACCGGCATGCTGAAGTGCAATCACCGAAACTGCAGAATTGGAAATTTAAGATATCGTGAAAAGGAATCGTCATAGAAGTTGAATTGGCTGAAATAATTGGATAAGCCACCGGAGAAGAAGACTGAATGTCAAGCAGAAGAATCAAGATCGAGCAAATGGTGAATAATTGGTAACCGAGGCTTAAACAGGCATTAATTTGTGTAAATGAAATTTGAACTTATAAACGGGCATTAATTGGTCCATATTAACACTAATTGGTAATTGCATATGCTATCAGAGAAAAAGGCCAAAGGCCGAAGGCCAAGTAGAAACGGGGCGAAATAATAGGTAATCGAGGAAGGCTAAAAAAATTAGGGTATTAATTGGTCAGTATTAGAACTAATTGGTTTAAATTAAATTTTAAAAAAGCAAGATTTATTATAATAGTAGTATTACATTAAATGAAACACATGACAGTAAATAAATGAAATAATAAATGTTTTGCAATAAGTGAAAAATAAAAGAATTTGAAGAGCATAAATTAACGTTGTAGATTAATTTAAAATTTACAAATGAACGATCAAGATTTGCTATGAGTGAAATCTCAAATCACTTTTATATAGTAGCATAAATATCCAAAATATGGAAGTTGAACTGTAACCTTCAATTCAAGTATCTTCACAAAAAAAGTGAATAAGTAAAATCTCAGCTAAAATCAATTTAAGTATCAGTTTATTTATATTTTTCTTTAATTAATAGGCCTAGGCTCAAGCTAGCAAAATATGCTAAGCTATATTACTATATAAAGTAATCAGCCACAACTTCCATCATAATTTTATTGTGAAAGCCTAAATTACTCTCCAAAGGCTCTTTCCTATTATTTCACTATTAAAAAGAAAAAGAAAAAATTACTAAAATTAACCTGAATAATTTTAAAAAATAAATGACCCAGGAGCTAATAAGGAGAGTAGCTCCTTTTCTTATGATTAGCGTTGGTATAGCTTATTAAGTGGCCTTTGTTGTGTGGCCTAAGAATGCTCTGTATAAATAAAGTTGTAAAATGTTAATAAGATAGATTTTTGATTTGGTTCAATTGATGTCTTGTTTTTTCCCTGTCTTCTTGTCCGTTTTCTGTAACTTGGCCTGAGCCAAGGGGTGAAGCGGGGTTTACAGGTGAAAGATTCGGAGGAGCTCCTCCCCCAGGAGCAGCAAGGTCGCCGTTCTCTCTCTCTCTCTCCCTCTTCGGAGACTAGAAGCAGCGTCATTTGGTATCAGAGCCGGCAAGATGCCGCCTCGACGTAATCGACAACGTCCTGTCCGTGACATTATGGTGGAAGATTTGCAGCGTGAGGTCCGACGATTACAACAAGAGCTAGCCCAGAGAGATCGACAAGAAGCGGAGAACCATCAAGAAGAAGAAGAGGTTAATCCTTTCCATCAGGATTCCTCCAGCGAAGAAGGAGACTCTCGTCGACGGCATAGGCCCGTCCGGCCGACCTTCAGGGATGATGGGGGAATCAAGATCGACCTCCCTGAATTTGAAGGAAGACTCGATCCAGATGAATTCTTGAATTGGATACATACCGTGGAGCGGGTCATTGAATTCAAAGAAGTAGCTGCGGACAGAATCGTTAAGCTGGTAGCGATTAAGCTTCGGAAACACGCGTCGCTGTGGTGGGAAAACCTGAAGAGGAATCGAACCAGGGAAGGTAAATCTAAGATCACGGATTGGGACAAGATGAAGAAAGAATTACATTGCAAATATCTTCCGGAACAGTATCGTCAAGAACTGTTCTTGAAGCTTCACCGACTGAATCAGCGTCAGTTATCTGTGGAGGAGTATGCCGCCAAATTTGAACAATTGGCATTGAAATGCGATCTCATCGAGCCGGAGGAGAATACGATAGCGAGGTTTCTGGATGGCCTACAACCCGCCATAGCTCACGTGGTGCAGTTACAAACCTTTTGGACCCTACAAGACGTAATCAATCTGGCATTGAAGGTGGAGAAACAACTAAAGAGCACGCCATCTAATCATTCTAGACCCAGGGAAGTGTGGGAGGGTAAATCTGCCCAAAGTTCAAAAGGTGGGACATCCACGTCGCAAGGGGCGCCGACCACATCCTCATCAGCTGGGCGAGGGTGGAATTCACCGTCGAATGCTGCAGGGGCCACCTCCGCACGCAAATGCTTTAAATGCCAAGGTTATGGACATATTTCATCCAATTGTCCGACGAGGAGGGTCATCACTGTAATTGAAGAGGAGGAATTGGAAGCTAACGCTGACCTACTGAAAGAAATGGGCAAGGCCGAAACTGGGGGATCTCTGGAACCCACAATCATTTGTGCTGATGAAGGTGAATTGCTGGTCCTCTGCCGGTTGTTAAATACTCAGAGGGAAGAACCCGTCCAACGTCATAATCTCTTCCGAACAAGGTGCACCATCAACAATCGGGTGTGTCAAATTATCATTCACAATGGCAGCTGTGAAAATATAGCTTCGTGTGCGTTGGTGGAGAAGTTGCAGATCCCCACTGAAGTCCATCCGCGCCCTTACAAACTATCGTGGATCCAACGGGGAAGCGAGGTTGAGGTGTCCAAACACTGTTTAATTGCATTTTCTATTGGCAAATTCCAGGATCAAGCTTGGTGTGATGTGCTGCCCATGGATGCCTGTCATCTCCTGTTGGGCCGGCCGTGGCAGTATGATCGACAGGCTCACCATGATGGGTCCGCCAATACTTATACAATAACTCACAGCGGAGAGAAGTTATTGTTGATGCCAATGGAACCTCATGGCAACGACTGCGCTAAAGAACCAATGTTAATGAATAGGGCTGAGTGTCAGCTAGCCCTTCGACAAACAGATGAGGGATACCTCCTCTTGCTCAAGGAGAATACTACCGCGCAAACAGAATTACCCAGCGAGGTACAACCCGTGCTGGATGAATTCCCGGATGTGTGGGTGGAAGAACTACCCGCAGGATTGCCACCTTTAAGAGAAGTGCAACACGCGGTGGATTTGCTTCCAGGGGCAGTCTTGCCCAATAGACCACCATACCGACTTAGACCCGACGAGCACATGGTATTACAGCAGCAGGTAGAAGAGTTGTTGGCCAAGGGCTTCATCCACCCAAGTGTTAGTCCGTGTGCAGTACCTGCACTATTGGTGCCCAAGAAGGACGACAGCTATCGAATGTGCATTGACAGTAGAGCCTTAAATAAAATTACTATCAGGTACCGGTTTCCTATTCCCCGAATTGATGACTTGTTTGATCAATTACAGGGGGCGACCATCTTCTCCAAACTCGATTTAAGAAGCGGCTATCACCAAATCCGGGTGCGGGAGGGTGATGAATGGAAGACCGCTTTCAAGGTGAGAGACGGACTGTATGAGTGGTTGGTGATGCCCTTCGGGCTATCCAATGCCCCAAGCACCTTCATGTGCCTCATGAACCAGTTGTTCTAAACCTTCTTGAGCTGGTTTGTGATCGTCTACTTCGATGACATTCTAGTCTACAGCCCTGACGTACAAGTCCACCTGCACCATCTCCGGCAAGTGTTGTCGCTGTTACAAGAACAGAAGTTGTACTGCCACCCGCACAAGTGTCGATTCTTGGACACTCGAATCCAATTCTTAGGATTCATAATATCAGCCAATGGGATTGAGGTAGACCCGAGCAAAGTAGAAGCCATAAACAGTTGGCCCATCCCCAGTTCGTCAACTGAAGTGCGCCGATTCCTTGACTTGGCGTCCTTTTACAGGCGGTTTGTCGCCAACTTCAGCTCGGTGGCTGCTCCCCTTACCGATCTACTTAAATCGGATTCCTTCACATGGACAGACAAAGCTCAGCACAGTTTCCAACAGCTACAGAGGAAGGTGACCTCTGCCCTAGTGTTACGTCTACCTGACTTCGACAAAGTATTCCAAGTGGATTGCGACACCTCGAATGTGGGCATTGGTTCAGTACTGAGCCAGGAGGGACAACCGGTAGCCTATTTCAGTGAAAAATTGAATGAAGCTAGGCAAAAATACTCTACGTACGATAAGGAGTTCTACGCCACTATCCGTGCATTACACCACTGGAACCATTTCCTTCTTTGTAAGGAGTTTGTCCTCTATACCGACCATGCCACACTCAAGTTCTTGGATAACTAGAAGAAGTTAAGAGGGAGTCATGCCACTTGGGCTGAATCACTCTTCGCTTTCCAATTCTTACTTAAACAAAAATCCGGGAAGAATAACCAGGTCGCTGATGCCTTAAGTCGACGATACGTACTGCTGCAAACATTACACCACAAGGTGGTCGGGTTTGAAAATATTAAGGTGCAGTATTCCATTGATCCCGATTTCCAGACGGTGTGGGCCACTTGTCAACACAGCTCTCAACCCCTGTTTCACCTGCAAGAGGGATTTCTCTTTTTTCGATCTTATCTGTGTATTCCATAATGATCGTTTCGGCTTGCTCTCATTTTCGAATTCCATTATGGGGGGTTGTCCGGACACTTTGGACGTGATAAAACGCTGTCCATGCTAAAGGAGAAGTTTTACTGGCCGACCATGCGACGGGATGTACTTCTCTATGTGAGGGGCTGCCGAGTGTGCAAGATAGCTAAAACTCCGGTAACTAATGCAAGCCTTTATATGCCACTACCGGTACCGCTCGGCCCCTGGGAGGATGTTAGTGTAGACTTTGTTCTAGGGTTGCCCCGCACCCAAAGAAACAAAGATTCGGTCATGGTGGTTGTGGACCGATTCTCCAAGATGGCTCATTTTATAGCCTGCAGCAAAACTCTGGATGCCACCCACATCGGCGACTTATATTTCAGAGAAGTTGTCAAACTTCATGGCATTCAAAAATCAATTATGTCCAATCGAGACGTTAAATTTCTTAGCCATTTTTGGCATACCTTGTGGGGAAAATTGGGTACACGACTCTAGTTCAGTTCGGTAGCACATCCGCAAACCGACGGACAAACAGAGACAGTAAATCGTAGTTTAGGCAATCTACTGAGGTGTTTTGTTGGGAAGAACCTGAAACAATGGGACCTTATACTACCTCAGATTGAATTTACATTCAATCGTTCACCCAATAAAACCACGGGCCGCAGTCCCTTTGAAGTCGTGTATGGCTGCAATCCGTTGACACCCTGCGATTTAATTCCAGTTAACAGATCGCCGACTTACAGCCAAGAAGCGGAGGAAAGGTGCAAGGAGATCCAGAAATTACATCAGCAAGTACAAAAGGAAATTGAAAAACAAAATGAAAAATACAGAAACCATGCCAATCGGCGCCGGCGAGAGGTGCAGTATCAAGAGTGCGATTTGGTTTGGATCAAATTGAGGAAAGAGAGATTTCCCGCCAGAACCTGCAGCAAGTTGAAGCCCAAAGCAGATGGACCCTTCAGGATTGTGAAAAAAATCAACAACAATGCTTATCAAGTAGATCTCCCAGGTGATTACAACATTTCGGCTGTTTTTAATGTTGCGGATTTAACTCCCCACTACAACGTGGAGGAGTTCTTCCCCACCCCGGAAGGATGATGTAGGAGCTAATAAGGAGAGTAGATCCTTTTCTTATGATTAGCGTTGGTATAGCTTATTAAGTGGCCTTTGTTGTGTGGCCTAAGAATGCTCTGTATAAATAAAGTTGTAAAATGTTAATAAGACAGATTTTTTATTTGGTTCAATTGATGTCTTGTTTCTTCCCTGTCTTCTTGTCCGTTTTCTGTAATTTGGCCTGAGCCAAGGGTTGAAGTGGGGTTGCAAGTGAAAGATTCGGAGGAGCTCCTCCCCCAGGAGCAGCAAGGTAGCCGTTCTCTCTCTCTCCCTCTTCAGAGACTAGAAGCGGCGTCAACAAATAAATTTTATTTCAATAGAAAATAACTTGATGCTTTCTACTTTGCATGTTGGGGCTAAAAGCCTCCGAATATGCTGAATAATTTTCAGATTACACGAGGCATAACTGCTACAAAGCGACAAAGACCTCATAATATGTTTCCGTACTCGCTTTGGCTCGAACGATTTCTCTCAAAATTCAAAGAGACTAAGGCTTCGTTTGGGACGACATTTTTACTTCTTCTTAAATCAGCTTCTTAGTATAAAAATTTTAACTTTTATACTAAGAAGTTATTTTAAGAAGTAGTAAAAAAGCCGTCCCAAACGAAGCCTAAGTGAACCAAAAAAGGAGAACTAATAGTTAGAGGAGTGAATGGTTCAAAACTCTTTGTACCACGTCTAGTTTTAATAGTTTTATTCTAGAACAATCACAGAAAAACGTTCATATGCTCACCAAAAAAGGCAAAGCTCTCAAATAAACATCAAATAGAATATATAAGATATGAGTCAGCTGAATTCACCGTAAAGCTTTTGTTGATTCTGATCACTCCATATATATAATCAATCCGTCAACAATTATACATAAAATAAATTAAAAGAATAAATTTTTAATTTTGTCGAGCATAACCAATAATCCATCATTTTCATAAGAAAAATTGTACCGAATTACATCGTCCACTCAAATGAGCGCTAAACAATTGAATAGACGAATGCCAAACATTCAACCAACCTCCTTTTTCCCTCACAATAACTTAAAAATGTCATTTAAACAAAACCCGAGCTCAAAATGATAGCAATCTCAAACTAAAAATCCACTACTTCTAGACCCAAGTGATTCAAAAAAGTCCACTAAATAGAAATATAGCTGTATCGATGGTGGGGGTTAAATCATCCACATGGTTGGAGATAAAGCTGATGAGAGCAAACTACTCTTCCCTACTCCAGAATTCCCGATGATCAGGATCTTGAAAGAGTAATCATGGCCACTCCCGAAGCCCGATGACGAACCCATCCGGCATCAATTTCATATCTTAGGGCGCAAAATCTCCTCATTCTCTGTCTTTGTTCCTTCACTTTATGTATTTTCACCTGCACTCTGGGGGTTGGTAGGCTGGGAGAAGAAAGGAATAGTTGGAGGAGATACAACGGTACTGATGATACAACAACATGTAGGAAGACTATGTATTAAAAAACCCTAATAATAAATGAGGACAAGATTAATGAATTAGGGACTAAAAAAGTTTGGCAATCGTCTATTCAATTATTGTCGAACACACCCAAAAATTCCAATCCCTTATCCCTAAACTATGGATGACTTAAACCACAACAAAAGTATAGAAAATAACATTGAATCGATCACCTCCTTAAACGTGAGCAGGAAACAAGCAGAAATCAAGCTAACTGAGAGCGGATTGAGGATTCCTACCTCTCTATTACAGCCTCTTAGCTTGGCAAAGGGAGGAAGACGAAGAGAGAAGTAGAAGATCGAGGAAGGAGGTAAGGTAGAGGCGAACCATTAAAGCTGAACAAGAGAAGCCCAAGCTTCTTTAGCGATTCATTCACAACTCTTCACGTGAAGCGAGAGCTCCCATCTTGATTTTCGATTCGACCTGAGAAGAACGCAAATAAGCTCTTTTTATCGTTTCTTTGCGATGGACGGGAGTGGGAGGGGAATCGGAAGAGGTATGAAACACTCGGAGGTTATGTGAAGGGTTTGTTTTTTGGGATTTTTACATACATACCACTTTATTACATATATATTACATATTTAACACCTAAAAGTTAAATATTACACCAATACCACCTAAAATCAATTTTTACCTCAGAAATAACACTCCGTTAACAGCGAATATCACTCCATTTTACGTTCCCGCCTTGATTTTTCGTGGTCGAACCCTGAAACCCGTATTTGCTCTTCTACGGAACCTGTTCCTCCATGCGATTTCTTCCGATTTCCTCTATGCGATTTCTTCTACCGAACCAGGTGAATTTTCTTTGGGTTTTTATTCCGATTTCCACCATATTTGCTCTGCTTTACCCGACAATCTATTTTATTCACCGGTTTAGTAGTAGTATATATATATATATATATATATATATATATATATTCACCTTCTTCGAAAGAAATTGGGTATTTTCATCCACCGTAATATTTTGGCTAAATTTAGATGAAATACATCATTCTAGTGCACATTGGATGTTTCACTCAAGTCTATTTCTATGATCACCTTCACCAAGGAAGCTTTTAAGTTTTATTTCCCGGAACCTGTAAGAAAACAATGAAACAGAGAAAAGGAGTAACAAGGAAAGGAAATCCTCTGTAAACTGGCCGCCGCACTGGGGAAGGTGGAAGTGATTTTGTAAGGGCTTCTCCGCCTAGCTGTGGGGGTAAAGAAGAGACACTGAGTTTAGTGTAATATTTGGAGGGTGCCTCTGAGGAGTGGACTTAGATCAAGTTTGACCGAACAACTATAAATCTGGTGTATTCTTTCCTTTATTATTTCTGCATTTAATTTCCGTATTGTGTTTTCTTTGTGGTGGATTTTGGTTTGGCTTTTTTATTGAGAAAGATTTTTTAAAATACTAATTCACCTCTGTCTTAATTAGCCTTATACTAGTTCCTAAGGGCTTAACATCCCTAATGAACTTTCAGTATAAACTTATACATAGTGTGTATAATGCTTGTACATAGCATGTACAAACATATACATAGTTTTTTAGGTTGTTTTTTGGATTATGAATAAAATTTTGCCTAGTGCATTTCTTTTAAAAAATATATGAGATATATAAAGCAAAAATGATTCGAGCACACGATAAACTAGTTCACCTAAGAACTTTCCAAGTATTAGACTTAGTTTTGGTTTTACAAAGACCCATTTTAGCTCATCAAAAGATAGGTGGTAAATTTTAGCTAGCTTAGGAAGGTTCATTCATGATAAAGAAGGCATATCAAGATGTATCTTATAAGTTGCTTGATTGTAAAGGAGATCATCCAATGTTACCTATAAATAGATGATATCTCAAACATTATTATGGTGGATAGTGTTAGAGGAGAAATATTATAATAAATAAAATATTTTTTGTCATTATTTTTGTGTATTACTTGAATATATTAAATTTATTTGAAACAAACTGGTTCTAATAGATAAGACTGGGTCAAAAAGTAAATATTAAATCTTATAAGTTTTAAATTCCCCAAATATTAAATTATATTCTTAAATAAATGGTATAAAGTCCTCTACTGTATCCTTTCTTTTAATGTTATGGTGGTTTAATCATTTAAATTCTCTTATTCAGGAGGTGCCTCTCGTTTGCTCTTCCATCTTCATCTAAATCAGCAATTTAGTATAAGTCCATTTGCATAGCATCCTATATGATTCATTAAAACTTGCTAGTGGTGGAGCAAGCCCATCGTGGCACCATCTTAATTTAAATCTGAATATGATCTTATATGGTTGGGAATAAATATGTGATACTCTTTACATATGATCATCCAGTCCTTTAAGGTTGGTTATAAATCAGTGATAAAGTCATCCTTTCCTCATGATTATCCATTAGTGGTAGAGCAATCCCCTTATGGCACCATCCTAGTTTAAATCTAAATTCAATCTTTTATAATTGGATATAAGCCTATGATAAAGGCTTTCTTTTCATATGATCATCTGCTAGTTATGGAGCAAGCCCCTCGTGGCACCTAGTTTAAATCTAAATTTGCTACTCTAAGGATGGGTATAAGTTTATGATAAAGGCTTCCTTTCCTCGTAATCATCTGCTAGTGTTGGAGATAGCCCCTCATGGCACCATCTTAGTTTAAATCTAAATTTGATCTTCTATGACTGGTTATAGGTCCGTGGTAAAGGCTTCCTTTTCATATGGTCATCTACTAGTTGTGGAGCAAGCACCTTATTGCACCATCCTAGTTTAAATCTAAATATGGTCCTCTGATGATAAAGGCTTCCTTTCCTCAAGATCATATGCTATTGGTGGAGCAAGCCCCTCATGTCACCTTCCTAGTTTAAATATAAATTTGATCCTCTATGTTTGGGTGTAAGTCCATAATAAAGGCTTCCTTTTCATTCGATCATTCGTTAGTGATGGAGCAAGCCCCTCATGGAACCATCCTAAATAAATCTTAAATCCAAATCATCCATGTTTAGGTATAAATTTTTCCATTCTTTAAAAGTGCCATATAATTTATTGATATAGGCTTGATTCCCCTTATATTTTCATTTCTTCTCTTAGACTGGAAACAAGACTTTTAAGTCTTAACAAATCCATATATTTGGGAGCTACTATCCTATTCATATTTTCAACCACTTGTCCAAGAGATGCTTGAAAGTCCAATAGAATTGTTAAGCTCTGATGAACTAGCGTGAGGCTAACAAATAGGGGGGGGGGGGAGGGGGGGGTGAATTGGTAGTTTTAAAATTTCTTAAACAAAAAGAAAAATCTTTTCTTTAAACCTTTTTGAATATTTTAAAACAAACAAGATCAACCCTTGATGTGAAAGAGATTAACAAAACAAATTAGAGATTTTAAGCATACAATCAACCACAAAATATTAAAGTACAGAAATTAAAATGCAAAAAAGTAATAAGAAAGAACACAAGATTTATAGTGGTTCGATTAACTTGACCTATGTCCACACCTTGGAGACACCCTCTTCAAGTATTGCACTAAACCTTCTATGACTCTCCTTTTGCTCTCATAGTAAGACAGAGAAGCATTTACAAAATCTTTCCACCGTCCCGGTGAGGCAAAAAATCTTGAATCCTTTTTCACCCTCCTAGTGAAGTTAGAGAATCTTGAATCCTTTTTCACCCTCCTAGTGAAGCAGAGAACCTAAAACCCTTTTACTCTCTCCTAGAGTAAGCATAGAACCTGATTTGATGCTGATGATTGTCTCCTTAGAGCCACCAAGGAAGTAAGGACGAAGCTTGAAGAAGACGAACGACTCCTTGCTTTGAGCAAATTTTGTGATTCCCCTCACAAATGCCTCTCAGAAGATTCTCCCTCTCTCTCCCAAGCTCTCCTTCTCCTTCGCTAAGTTCCCTTAGGTTAGGACTTCAGCAAAAGATATTTTAAAGAGATAATGAAAGTGTTTAAATAGGGAGCCTCCAAAAGAAGCCCTAATTTTCAATTCTGCGCAATTGATCATTTAGGATGATTAATAGATAATCCTGTATGATTAGTACAAAATAGTCAATTAGACCTGGACGAACAGTAATGCCTTGGATGATTAGTTCAGTAAGAATAGGAATATCATCGTGGACGATTTGAGAATCATCCTGGACAATTAGTTTAAATCTTCTGAACATCATCCAGTATGATGAACAACGATCCATGATCATCCAACATAGTTCCTTGTCATCTCGGATGTTAAGGGAAATAATCTAGGATGATTAGTTCAAAAATTATGGCATTCATCTGGGACAATAGGTGGTGATCCCTTATCATCCCAATAGCTTCGCTATCATCCAGGATGATCACCACCGATCATCCTGTACGATTGTATCGAATTAATAATTACCATAATTATCTCTTAATCAAAGGATTAATTTAGGCATGATTATTCTGGATCATCCAGGATGATGTACATCATCCTTTACGATTAGCACAAAATTTGAAAAAGAAAATCATTACCTAAACTGTGATTTATATTGATCATCCTGTACGATATAAATTGTCCAGGATAATTAGTTAAGCAAACTTAATTATCAGGGATGCCCTAATTAGGATTTTTATTTTAAACTGATCATTTAGGATGATTTAGGATCATCTTATACGATATGATCAAGTACCGAAGAAGTATAAAACTCAATAAATTTCTCACCCTGAGTGTATGTGTGCAAGGTTACATAACTTGGAATACATCATAGTATATTTGACTTAAAAAATGGTAAAAGATACATTGAAAATAGATGTTACAGACATACTCAACCCTATTTTACCTGATATTGAGCTGATTTATATTGCAAGTGATCTTATGGATCTAAAAGGTTATTAGGCAGAGTAAATAAAAATATATATGCAATAGTATCAGTAGTAGAAAAACAAGAATATTTGTTATCATCAAAATCAAAGTACTTGGATATAGATTTGCAACAATGCTATCCTAGTCAAGTATAAATCTATTTAAATTTAAATAGATACATCAAATAATCTTTTGGATTCAGTTAATCACTTCGGTCTATGCCGAGATGTGTGATATACTTTTTAAGTTCATCACACCTATTGGAGGTCCATTTGTTGACCCCATTTTTGAATGAGGTTAAATCTCTCCATTTCAAGCACCAATATTTAAACCTAAATCATTAAAATATATTTTAAAATATAAATCTCATTCATCACTATGTTTTGGCATAGGTGATTTCATCATTGATCCTTAATACCATTACTTAATAATCACCCTTAAATATCATTAGATCATCTCATCTACCACTTCATAATCACCCTTAATTGATAGTGGTATGATTATTGCAAAGATAAATTCCCTGCAATCATTGACCTCCATTCATCAATTCAAAACCTAAATCAATATCAAGCTCTAAATCCATCAATTGACAATCTCTAGTGGTTGTTAGCTGATTACATATTCAATAACTAATGATCATCCATGATTGTCAATGATTTTAGAATTCGAAATCCTAAATCCTCCTATATCATTATCTAAAGAAAATTTAAATCCAATCCAATGATTAAATCCATTG